TACGTGTGGACCCATCCGACCCATCTTGACCGGGTGGGATTATGCCAAGATTTTTCAAGGATATGTGAGCTTTTTGCAACATCAAGCTGGCGCTGGAGTTCTTGTAAATGGGTCCCCCATTTTGTAAGCATAAAGAAGAGCGAGGGCACAATCGTGATCGAGAGGACCCAGAGCTTGTGTTGAGTGACAGGCCAGGTAACTTCCACACAGCAGTCCCAAGCAGGAGCCCAGGGCCACCGAGGCAAAATTTTAACTACCTCACCTGGTATACAGGAAGTCGTAGGTTCGATTCCGACCCCCGACGCCTGCTGTATATTTGGAGTTTGCATGTTTTCCCCGTGGTTGCGTGGATTTTCCTCTGGGTCCTCCGGGTTTTCACTCTGCATTTAGCAACATGCGTTTAGAGTATTTGGCTGCTATAAATTTACACTTGGTAAGCCACTTCCTTGAGCTTTGATTTGTGGCCAGGTCGCTTCTGAAGAGCTATGTAGCAGCTCAGTGGGCCCTACCTTTAATAGTTTATAATAAAATATTTTTGAAGAGCGAGGACAGTGAGAGATGTCACTTGACACACGAGAGAGCAACATGAGAGGAACATAGAGACACGAGAGAGGTACAGAGGAGAGATGCACGGGACGAGCGATGGGGAGTGAGATGGACCTTGGACGACCCCTCTGCCCGATCTCCCCCCCCTCCCCCACTTGAGACACTCTGTGTCAGAGTACAGTTTTCTTGAATCCAGTGCAAAAGACATCATGGTCACTTCCTTGTCAAGGATGTGGAAGCTTCCAATAGGTTTTCTTTATTCACATTTGCTGCTCTAGAAGAAGATGTCTTTGTTCTGAAGCTTATCATTAACATCGACTCTTCTGACCCATCCGACAGATGCAGCACACTTGAGGCTTGAAAGCCTCTTGATGGAGGGTTTCCTTGTCTCTCCAACACACTGGCATGGCAACAGACATTCTTAATTGATAGGCTCGTGGCATTTTTAGGTGTGAGCGATGATGCATTAGCATTTAGCACCAGCCGTGATGTTCTGTGTGCCCGTAAAGTGGCCAAGTCTGATTGTGACTGCCAGATGTGGCTGTCGTGCTTTGTAACCTTTGCTACCGAGTTCAAGGAATAGGTCGTGCCGTGTGTTCACGCCCAATGTGCTAGACCAGTTTACTCTCTCTGGCAATTGTTTTTTGAAGTTATGCCAAAAATAGGCGTGCGTAGGCATTCGTTAAAATATGTAGACAATCGGAATACAGTGATCCCTCGTTTATCGCGGTTAATGGGGACCGGAACCCCTCGCGATAGGTGAAAATCCGCGAAGTAGGATTGGCCCCCTAGGAATTTCCGTATGTGTGTGTGGGTACCAGAATGTTTAAAATATGTATATTTATACTTTATATATATATTTTACTTAAATCTATTTAATTATAAAACCTTAATATTATACATTCACTCTCTCTCATACGATACGTATTATGGTGTTTTACACTCACCAATGACAGTAGTATCTTGAGACTTGACTCCAGTAATGACGACGACGATGACAATGACGATGACAATGACAGACCTGTGCAGTTTGATGAATGTGATTATGAATGATGATGATGATGGTGTTACTGCACAGGTATAATGAGGCCTTTAAATCAGTTCAAAAAATCCGCGATGCACTGAGGCCGCGAAACTTGAACCGCGAAGTGGCGAGGGATTACTGTACTATTTTCTAGCATTATCTCCTGGGAAATATTGTCCTGCACATGTCCTATTTTGACCCCAATCCAGACAATTTTGGTTTTTGCATCAAACGTTCCGAAATTAACTTTAACCCCCGTTGGTTAATGTAGACGTGAAATCACCTGTTGGAGGGCTGGCTCTTTCTTGCATTTATGAGCTTCCAAAGCAATCGGCTGTGCTATAAGCACAAATGCAAAGTAAAGACTTGTTGTCACTAAAAAGACACTGATATATGTTTGTTTCCCGTAGGGTAGACATTGGCTCTGAGGTATTATCAAAGGCCCTGCTTGATGGGACATTTTATTACTGGATGTGCTTTGCTCCAATATTTATTCAGAGACTGCTGCAACAAGTTGTCTGTCTCTTGTCATGGCAAATCTGGTGGTTTATTGCTGTTGTTTTGTAGTGGGTTTAGTGTAACATTGAGGCCCCGATTTGAATAGGATCCCCACACGTATCCTCGTGTGATTTCAGGCAAGTATATTTCATGCCTGGTTTGTGAATTTAAAACTATAATTTCAAAGACAGCCTCTTCAATATTAAATTCCAGGTCAAGAAACAGAAGAGCCAGTGTTAAAAATACATCCTCGCTTGGGTTTTTTTATGAAATACCGAAATGTTCTTGTTGATAGGTACAACACATTCAATAAATATGAGAATATGTTTTCCCCTTTTTTCTGGCAACAAAGACAATGCATATATTATTAGAGTACGTTTTTTGTTTGCATTCTGACAACAAGTATTGTGGTTAATGCAGACATGATACCTTGTAAAAGGTTTCAGTTTGGTGTTTTAACATCTTAACACCTGTTTTCTTGTCAGAAAGAAGGGGAAAAACCTATTATCATATTTTGGTACTGACAAAGGAGGTCCCATGATGTAGATTCAATAAATACTTGGATTTTACAAGGTCAAAGGAAATTCAGATTACATTTTCATATCCCGGTGTAGCATAGTGTAGTAGATGCTATGAGAGTTGTGCAGTTCCTACACAAAGTCTTGTCGTCTTTGAAACAGTCTTCCTGTGTCACGTCCAGAAATCCAGTCTCCTGAATAAATACATCTTACCAAGGAGCGGTCTGTTTGCAGAGCATTGCGGACCGCTTGGGTCACCCCTTTGCTTGAATGGGCACTTGGACAAGAATATCCGGGGAAGTGGTAACAAGCGATATGAGCCCTCCATGTACTTAAAATTTGCAAAGAACACTTTGCACCTTAAATCTGTACCGATTGTTCATTGCTTTCGAAGTTCAGTTTTTGCTGAATCGTGTTGGCAAGGGGGAACCTGCTGTATTTTCTCCACCAATGGGTGTGCTTACTTTGAACAATTGTTGTCAAAGAAAAGCAATAAAGCAGATGTTCATTCTCACAAATGGTGAGCCGAGCACTGCCACAGTCCCTTGGAGACTTGTGGAGTCACAGGTCCCATGCTGCATTGTGGCAGCCCCCCCCCCCCCCCCCACCTTGACAGCTGCTGTCCCTGTGTCACTAACGTGATACTATCGGGATGTGCTCACTTCTGTCGTGGTCATGCAAAGCCATTCCTGCACGGGCTCCTTTTATCATTTTCTAATTTCTCATTGCCTCGTGTAAGATGGAGCATAACAACAGACAGAGGCAATTGAGATGGTCAGGGCATCTGAATCGTATGGACGAGAACCGCGTTGCAAGGCAGGCAATGAGTGGAAATGTACTGAAAGGAACACTGCAGAGAGGGAGACGCCAAGAAAGATTTCCGGAGGCACGATAAACGACGATTTAGAAGTCATTGGAATATTGTGGGGAGATGTGGCTCCACTAGCCTGAAAACTTGCAAGTTGTGGCCAAAGCCGTGTCGCGGAACTGCCTGCGTTGCAGGTATAAAAGGGGCCTTGCGCCGAAGGTAATTTTGACCAGGCACTGACCTCAAGGGGCCAGTCCACACAACTGCTTCCGTGATGGATTTGTTTTGGAAGGGCGGCGCTCAGTGTTTGTGTGTGGAAAGGCTGTGGTATGTTTATTAAGTTCTGTTTTCCAAAAACTGCAGGCTGCCCTCGTCGACTTAATTGTTTCATTTGATCCAATTCTCTCAACAACTGTTCTTGGTTATACCTTGTGTTCCTGAAGATCAGTGGGAACAGAATATGGACCATATCGAGGCCAAAAAACCACATGAGCAAAATTGGTTTAGGAAAAGTTTATTTAGGGTGCCTCGGGGTGTAGTTCTTCCCCACATCAAGTAACATGAGTAAAGTGCATGTTATTAGGTGACACGCCTTAATCAGAGTTAATCACAGCAGCCATTTCCCAAAATAATGTGATTCATAAACAAAGTCAAACAAATGGAGAAATATCACCATGTGAAGAGTTTTTGACGGGTGGACTATATCATGCGAAGGAAATTAACTGCAGGAATGTTAGTATAACTTTATAAGTGATACTAAAGTGGGGCGCGAGAAGTACGAGCAAAGCAAAAGTGGTGTGCAACCACGCTTGTAACGACCCTTTGAGTAATCAACTTAATCTCCATGGAACTGCCGGTGACTGATAACTGCCCCGCCTGTTGCGTCTGGGGTTTGAGTGAACGACCTCGGTCCCTCGGGCGGCATGCAGACCCCAAAGACATTCAAGTTGTCCACCCCTCTTCCTAGTCCCTTGCTAGCTCCCGCCAAGATCATTTGGCTGCTAGAAATTACCACGTGATTAACCACTTGAGCTACCAGTGGTGGCCAGGCTGCTTCTGAAAAATAACTAATTGCTCAGTGGGCTTTACCTGGTAGAATAAAAATGGCTTGGGTCAAGTTTATTAATGTATTTTTAGTGATTCGCTTACCTTTCCTAGACTTAGCACTCCTATCGGTTTATTTTTGTATTTGCTGTAACTTTCTGGCAAGCCCCCCCCTCCTTACTGGTCATATTTTTAAAAAAGAGCTTCATAGCTCATCGGATTTCTCCAGTCTGAATAAAGATTCTGAGTTCTAAAAGTTCCAGAAACAATATTTGTGTTCGAACCAATGCCCTCATATTCTGTAGCGCACACTGACGGCGGGGCGATGGTTGCAATAAATATAATCGAGCCTGGTCGTGTCTTTTAAAAGTCAATGCCAACTCCGGGTGTTACAGCTCTCTCTCCTCTACCTCGCGTGGGGAGAAGCCAACAAGGGCTGATGGGAATTCTCCGGGTCCTCCGGTTTCTCTCTCCCCATTTAAAAACTTGCGTTTAGAGCATTTGGCTACAATACATTTCCACGTGATAAGGCCCTTCGTGCAGGGAGGGGTGGGTATGATGTGCCTTGTGGTTGCCGGGCTCCTCTGCCTGTGTGGAGACTTACGGTTTATTTTAACAATGGCACAGAGTAACATTCTGGGGCATAAGCGTGGCGTTTGTTGCAACGGTACAGACTTCACAGCCCGGTCCCAGATACACACGGTTTCACAGACTGATGCGCAAAATCGGGGAATGGTTTAAAAAAATTATGTTTTAGAAACATGTAGCCCCATTAAAAACTGTTGTGTACTATTGTTATCCACACGGGAATATGGCATTCTGAACGTTCGGCTCGGCTCATTGTGCCCATTAAGCATATTCAATATTGGTTCAAGCAAATATTATGCCTTGCACGGAGTGGGCAATTGGAAGCAAAGAGGGTTTCCTTCTTAATTGGACTTTGAGGCAGCTTGTTTGTAAGTGGCCCCGAATCAGCGGTGGACAGGTGGAAACGTTATACATGACTATTCCAGGGGCCTGCACTCTATAGGACTGTCGCTGAACAAGCTGTAGCCTCGCGAACCACGAAAGCCCCGGGCCCTTTGATGAGTCATGCGGCACGGCAGAAGGTGACACGAGGCAGCAAGAGGGCCACTAAATGCTTCTGTATGTGTGCAGTTATCCCCTCCCCCCGCCACCAGCCCCTGTCTAAGTAGGAAGGTTAAAAATAGGGCTCCCCGCTGCACGTTGCTTTGGCTTAGCTTTTTCACGTGGAGGCGCTATTTTTAGGGCGTGTGAGTGCTGCTGTTTTTCCGCTGCTGTTTTTCCCCCGGTGGCGGCGGCGGTGGCGGCGGTGGCGGCAGCAGCGCCGCTGCGCGTGTGGTGGCATTGCCTCGTGTCTGGGCTGGGGGGGAGGGAGTTCCGCACGCCACCCGTCCTTGCTTCGTGTTGAGCTGCACGCTTTAGCACGGCGGTTTTGCAGCAAACTCTTTACAATACTCATGTCGTGTGGAATTCTGTGTGCTCTGATATCGCTCGCCACTGTTAACCTTGGCCTGGGAATCAAACTCTTAATGGCCCGAGTTTGTGCCAAACACTACCACCGCTAATCTGTGTGAGGAATGGAGTCGACATGGTTTTGGCCTGCCCGAAGATGTGTATGTTGACCATCGTATACCAAGAGTCTACTTTTAATTGTTCTTTTAGGCTACGTTTTTAGATGGAGTTTTTTGAGTGAAATGCTCCGGGGAAGGTATGTGTGGGTGGTTCCGTGAGTGCAAGCGTTGTTTTCTCTCGCGGAGCACTTTCCCCAACCCTTCTAGATGCGAATTCAAAAGACAATGTGTAGTTTTTGATTTCGCGCCCTACACGTGCTTTGCTTTAAATCGCGTCTCCACACATTTTAAAGGGCACCCCCAGTGGCGGCTGTCCCTGTGCAGCACATGGTGACTCGGCACCTGGCCCACATGGGCATCAGTCTGCCAGTAGAGGTCAATGATTGCTCTATAATCCCAATTGAATAAATTGCGGTGTAATTTTCGAATTTGGCGAATTTGGACCCTGACGCCCGGCACACGATGGGCCTACTCTTGTGAATGCCATTGGGGGAACTTTAACATCCACTGTGAAGCAGACTGCTTGTTACGTTTATTACATCCCGCGGTAATAATCGGGGGGCGTCCACCAGATTTGAACTAGGAACCTCTGCAACAGTCGGCAAATGCCCTACCGCAGCAAGCAAAGTCGTGTCACCACTCCCGTGGAAAGTCTCATTGGCAATTGTGGCATGGGTGTTGTTGATCCATCCTGGATTCAAATACATTGAAGGTGATGAACTTTTGATCGACTTCAATACAGACCATATCTAAACATTTAATCGTAAAAACCTAAAGCCTCCTATGGAATGTGAAAGTCTGACCAAGTTAATATTTTGGCTTCCTGTCTGCGTGTCTCATCCTGGGTCTGGTCCAATTTTTCACGTTTTTCTCCGGACAACAACATTGTTACCCTTTTCTGGCCTCCAACTTTGCTGGTTGGAAAATACTGGTTGATACGTGCAGATGGACAGATAGCCGTCCTTCTCACTGGCCTGGGGTCGAGTGTGTGAAGCTCTCTTGTCTTTTAGTGTGGTGTGGGTGGCCGCCTAGGCAGGTGTACACAGTGCTGTGTTTACCCAGCTGGGAAAATATTTCTCCTTCTCTTCCCGTGTTCTTTTACCCAGCAATAAATCCTGTGTCGTCTTTAGCCCTAAATTCCCATCTTGGAAGGGAGTAATTAGATATACGGGCAGACCTCAACCCGTCGATTTGTTCGTATCTCGGAACTCAATATTTAATCGTGCATACGGTCATTGTCACAAAATGTGTTGTGGTTCAACATCAAAGGGAAACATTGTTAAACTCATACATAGGAAGAAAGTGTACATTTTCATATCCTGTAATACATATTGTGTAGCAAATGAAACAAAGTAACATCAAAAGAAAATACATTTCATTTTCACTTGCCTTGAGTTGAACAGTTCACTGCCGTTGTGCATCACGCAGGATTCTGGTGGAGGATCGCTCCGCCGAACAAAATTGTTTCGCGGGTTCGGTTTGTAAGTACGAGCGAACGTTCGCAAGTCGGATGGTTACAAATAATATCTTATGGGCGGTTCGTTCGTAAGTGCACAATGATCGGCAGTTGGACGTTCGTATTTCGGGGACTGTTGACGAATTACATTTTCATGGCCACTGTAAAAAAAAACATTGTTGCGTTAACAATTATTTTCTAGGCAAGTGAGAGGGTGTTGAGATCCATATCAACTTTTTCCAGGGAGGTTTAGATTATCACTTGTGCGGTATTCTGCTCTTTGTGATTAGTTTGTTGTCCATGCTCCACACGTCCGATCAGCACGGTTGGCTACGTATGGTGCAAAATAAGTTCAACATACATACAACAGGAATGTCTGTGTAGCATTAGAAGCGGATCCTACGGTGATCGGCTCTGCTTTTTCTATGTTTGCTTGTCAGTATCAAGATGTGTTGAAAAAAAGGGAAGTTTGAGTCATTGTTGTAACTGCCTACAGATGTCCCCAAGCACACAGCTTGCGTAATGCCAAGTCTGCATTCAGCTTTAGGGTCAACTTGTGGTGAAACACGTGGCTGTTTACTCCCTCTCGTGTTTCCATACAGAAAATACACCAACTTAGTAGTTTACAAGAAGCCGACATGGCAGCATTAAAGCATTGTGGAAGCATGAAAATGATTCCCTTAAGCAAAGTACATTGGACAGCTTCAACTCGGAACGTCGTGTTGCTGTTATAAAAGTCTTACTCTTTGGTTCTTTCGGTAAAGTCACGTAGGTAGAAAAAAAAATAATAAAAAATTCACGACGTTTTGATCGCCACACAAGCAATCGTCATCAGGTGGGAGAGAGAAACAGACGGCTGAAACAAGTCCTTCTATATAGAGCCGGAGGGAGGGGGGGTTGCCACATCGGGCAAGAGGGTGGGGGCTAGAGATTGTGCCTAAACGAGTGGGAAATCCAAAGATGGGAACCGAGATGGGGGGGAAGGGGGGGTTGATGCACCTCCACAAAGAGCTGAGGTGGCAATTGTATTGTGAGAGATTAGCATGGCGATGTGTAGTGACAGTATGTCCACCACTAGGGGGATAGAGCGCTGAACAGGGCGAAGGAAAGGCAGCGCTGAACAGGGTGAAGGAGAGGAGCGCTGAACAGAGTGATGGAAAGGCGCAGAGATGATCGAGGGTCGAGTGCAACGACGGTTTATCAGCCACTAGGGGGATAGAGCATGCAACATGAGACGCACACAGAGAGAGAGACACACACAAAGTGACACAGAGAGACATACACACAAAGAGACAGAGGGAGACATACAGGTAGATGCACACAGAGACACACACAAACCGAGAGACACACATAGAGACACAACAACATCACAGCCAGTTATAGTCTGGTATAAAACCGCCACATCGAGGGAAAGGAGGCAACGTTGGCTTTGTCATTGAGACATTTATCCCGTTAAAGTAAAGACATTTAACTTGGTAATGTAACTCAGAGTCGGAAATAACTGCTGACAATGGCAGGTAGGATGGAAACATCGAACAACCAGTTAGGGCTTTATCTGGTTAATAACGTCCTTCCAATGATTTCTGCGTGGGGAGCGTGCTGCGTAGGGCTAGTGCTGCGTGGGGGAGCGTGCTGTGTGGGGGAGCGTGCTGCGTGGGGGAGCGTGCTGCGTGGGGCTAGTGCTGCGTGGGGCTAGTGCTGCGTGGGGGAGCGTGCTGCGTGGGGGAGCGTGCTGCGTGGGGCTAGTGCTGCGTGGGGGAGCGTGCTGCGTGGGGCTCGTGCTGCGTGGGGGAGCGTGCTGCGTGGGGCTAGTGCTGCGTGGGGGAGCGTGCTGCGTGGGGGAGCGTGCTGCGTGGGGGAGCGTGCTGCGTGGGGCTAGTGCTGCGTGGGGGAGCGTGCTGCGTGGGGCTAGTGCTGCGTGGGGGAGCGTGCCTCGGGGGGAGCGTGCTGCATTGGGCTAGTGCTGCGTGGGCCGCGGTGCTTTGCGTGGCGCTGCGGGTGTCTCTTAAGGCGATGCCGAGTGCGGCAAGCGACGTTTTCCTTGACGGCGCAAACCCCCGCAGGTCGCTGCCACGAGGACCCTCCCCGCAGACGAGAGACGACCGCATTTACAGCACATCTGTAGCACAGTACGCAGTGAGTACCGCCTGCACACACACACAGTCAAGCTGTTGCACTGTATTGTGAATGCACTCCCTACACACAGCCAAGCTTTTGCACGGTGCACAGTGAATGCACTGGATACACAGCCAAGCTGTTGCATGGCATTCGGTAAGAGTACCCTCTTTACGCATGTATTCAAGCTATTCAGTACATGGCGAGTACACCTTGTAAACACAGTCTGTTCCACAGTACTCGGTGAATGCCTTCTACACCACAAAGGCAAAGATCCCCCATATAGCCTTTAACAGACTGTTGGGGCAAGTGCTGTTAGTGAGCAACTATGAATGCCGGCACGGGGCATGAGCAGGTGGGTTACCAAGATCGCGGCTACTCTGTCTCACTCACTTAAATTGTCACAACCTTAACTCATCGACCAGTACACCTTGACCCTCGTTCATTTAATGTGGTATTGTCTTGAAATGTTGATATTTTGTGAATTCACCACTCAAAAAACATCACTGAATTTGGTGCGTTTATATTTAATGACACCTTCAAACTGCCGCTGTGTTCAGTTGATTCAAACGTTGTTACATTGACGAATGTAAAACATGCGAAAAGAACTATGTAATTTCTTTTTCTTTTTTAAATTACCAACAACAACCAAATATACAACGTGTCAGGGACTTGCCACTGCAGATTATCTTCTGACTGGTGCTTGGTCAATCTTTAGTAGGAAGCCGTGGCATTGCAGATGCTTGCAGACGCGATCACCAGTGGGCTAGGCAGCACACAACTTTTAGTGCGAGTGATGGTGTGGCACAAGGTGAGTTCATACAGCCACTAAATTTCTTCACCCAGTATTCATGAGTGGTGCATATATATAATATATTTACACACGTCATATATATTTTCTGAAAACCAGACCAAAGTGTGCTTGTGTTTTGTCAATGGGGGGTCCACGAACCAGAATAAGGCACCGTTAGAATGTGTTTTTATTCACTGCTAGCGAGCATAATTCAGAAACTCCAGGTTATGGCACCCTTGGGCTTTCCCCTAAATGCACTACACTAAGTATTGAACCAGGGTTAGCTGTAGCTTTAAATTTAAAACCCACCCCGTCACGAGAACAGCTGGCCTGCCAGCTAACAACCGACAGACTGACAGACAATTGAAGGTACTTGTAGTGTAGGTGAGCACTGAGAACTGGGGAACCAAACTTGAAATGCAAGACCACATCTGTGGGTTTTGTTCATTCTTTCTTCCCCGTCATGTTCTCATCGGCAACAAAGGAATTCGCATTTGTGTGTGTGTGTGTGCGTGTGTCAGTCAACCCATGGCACCTGGGTTTATGTCGTGACCTGCCAGCGAGTGTTCGACACATCACGTGGCCTTAAAGTGCACTTATCCTGGCACTAGTGTCATGGTGACGTCACCGCCACTTAGTGGTGAATGGCGGTTGTTGTAAATGAGGAGCGGTGACGCGGTGGTTAGCGCGCTGCACCACAAACCCGGCGACCCAAGTTTTCAATTCCCACTCATGGCCACCAACATCAGTGACGATTATTTGAACCAGTCCTGGGCCTCTCCAAGATCGTCTCCACTTCAAATGGGTACCTGGTGCTGTGTAAACATTGTCACTGGAGAGACGAAGGCGGCCGGGCATGGTGCTGGCTGCCCTCTACGCCCTCATGTGCCGTGCTCGCTTAACAGTAACTAGCCCTGAAAGTCTGTTATATAGGGGAGTCTGTCTTTGTGTGTTGAATAAACGCAAACGTTAATTCAATATTCTAAATAGCTTGGTGAACAGTGTGCTGGCCCCCCACCGCTCTTCCACAATTGATTACTTGTTGCACCCGCCTTCTAAGACGGCGACTGCGATACCACTTGCCGTGGGGTCGTGTGGGGGGCCATGCCACCCACTCGTGTTGCCTTCGACATGCCGTTTTCCCATTGCGGGGAGGCGTGTAAGGGATTGGGCCTAAAACTGGCCCTGCCGCCATATGACTAACTATAGTGGGGTTGGCACAAGCTCTCTCCGATGACAGGTGGATATTATTGGTCCCAACGGGCGATACAATTGTCAGTCTTGCGTGTGTGTGCGGCGTTTTGAAAATGTCGTGTTGGGCTCGTTCGTGCACACGGCCGCAGCTAAATTAATTGATGTGCCTATTAAGCATGTGATAAAAAGGCGTTGAACGGCTTGGCGTCTTTTATCGATGGTTCAATGACTGCACTCAGGGTTGTTCCTGTATTTGAAGGTTGGATGGGACGTGAGTGGGAACGATCACATTTTCGTGAATTGCATCCTTTGCTCGCCGACAGGAACTGTGTTGGCTGGAGTGAAAAGTGTTGTCGCCTACTGAGTATCTGCCAGCGTTGGATGTGGCCCCCAAGCAAATGTTGTCGATGAAATGAGACCATTCAGGACCGAGGGGGAGGTTGGCGCAGCGGGTTAGACACGAGAGGCGTCCTGTCCCGTGCATGCCTCGCGTGGTCATCGACGTTTGTGCGTGCGTCACTTGATCCCGCGATCGAGAGCGTTTGTAGAGAACATTGCCCTGGTTCCAGCTGCTGCTGCTACATGGCCATCGGATACCGATGGTACAGTTTGTACATATGGTCGGTCCTTGGACCTACCTCCTACAAAAGGTTCCGTAAGTCGAGGACCGCCTGTACGTTGTTAATTCTGTTACCGCCACTGCCCCCAGTGAGTTTTTTTACAGCCAATCGCCACCCGTTCCAGGACTCTGGAGTTATAATTGAGTGAGCCACTTTGAGTTTGCTTAATTTAAAATCCCAGTTAAAAAAAAAACATTTAAAAGTCACCATCGTAAAAGAAAATGTATCTGATTTGAGAACTTTTCTGGTTTAATGAAGGACTCTCATGTTTTAACCTAGCCCTATGAACGTAACTAGAGATTTTACAGGGTGCCGAATCAAATTGATATATTTTTTGTCGCAATCTCTCTGTTACTTTTTTAGAGAAGTGAAATGAAAGCTGAACGAAAGTGGGCAAAGTCTGCTGCGAGTTACTGGTTCAGTGTATGTTTCTAATTTGCCATACTCAAAAGCTGCTTGTGATTTTTGGCATGTCCACCGACATGTAATTTTATCTTTGTCATCACAATTATTTAGTTAGACGCCACGGTGGCGATATTAACTCCAATGCCTGGTATACATGAGGTCGTGGGTTCAATCCCAACCCTTCACTCCTGTATTTTTTGAGTTTGCATTTTCTCCCCATTGTTGCATGGACTTTTCTCCGGGTCCTCTGTTTTTTTCCCTCCACGCTTAGAATTAATGTGCATTTAAGAGTATTTGGCTGCTTTAAATTTCCATGTGATAATCCACTTCGTTGAGCTATCATCTGTGGCCAAGTCGCTTGTGAAAAAAGCTATTTGCAACTCATCCATAAGTGCTTTTTTTTGTTAGATTGCGTAAATATATTGTGTCTTTAAAACCCGCCGCCACCCGACAGCCAAACTCGTAAGGGTTGTCATGTAAACAGAACATGCCAATTCGTTACTAGTACACAATATTTACAAACTGGGTACGACGTTTCGCCAATAATTACAACTAGCTTCATCAGGCGACAGCCAGATTTGTGAAGTCTTACTGTTTCGTTCCTTATATAGAGGCGTAGATGTGTTGACCACCTTTCTGCGCTATTGCACAATGTGGGGGCGGGGGGGATTACTGAGGCAACGTACATTATGCGTGCGCATTATGCGAGTTCTTTGAACTTATCCTTCCTGTCTATTGTGTTTATTAAAATAGCCCTGCCAACGGTAATCCCTATTGAAGTACGCTGCCCTTTGTAGGCATGCATTTAAATAATGTATTATTTGATGATTCGCTTCTACGCAGCACTAAGGCGGTAGCTATCCGAACGGTTAAAGTTATTTTGATTACTTTCAATTTCGATGGCTTCTCTAATTAGGCTTGGCCAGTAGTAGCTAGTTTTGCACAGAACTTCAACATTATCAGAATCAATTGAGTATCTATGTTGGTACGCGTGTTCTGCTACTGTTGACAGTTGCATTTGGGAGAATTTAATATTTCTCTGATGTTCTTTTTGTCTTGTGCTGATGATTCGCCCTGTTTGCCCAACAAAACATGTAGCACAATCCTGTACACCTTCTGTTGATAGCTTCGGTAATATATCTTTTGTACCAGATATTAAACCTCTACTATGGATGATATTGGTTGCGAAAGCCTACGTGTTAAACTGATTTGCAACTCAATTGGGCTTACCTGTTAAAATAAAATGTTTTTTAATAAATTGCATTCTCTGCTGTAATTGCATAAAGAGGGCCTTAATGGGCACACAATCCCCTCAATATGTGGCCAAGCTTGATGAGAAAGCAATTAGGTGTGTCCAGTCTATGGAAACTGGCGCTTGGTTGCAGGCTTGCATGGTGGATGAGCCGCACTCGGTTTCATGGTCTGCCTCCAAGCTTTGCTTGTGTCACCCACCGTATAAGTCTGAGCTATCGACAGTGAAATACACGTTTGCTCAGGCCTCGGATATCCTGGCTTTGAAGGCAGGCGTGTTTGCTAACACGCGTGTAGGCATGTGGTGCACAGCTTTGCGGAGGCGCAATGTGATTATGATTCCACACTGTAAAAATTAACCCGTAAAAACAAAGTTTTTCACCTATGGGTCAGATGATTGTCTGGCAGCATTAAACAATTGGTAATTAAATATTTAAATTTTTTTCCCTAAACTGTCAAATTTTTGAATTTTTTTTCTCACGAAAATGCATTGTCACGCACAACGAGTCTGTGTGCAAAATGTCAGCTCGATTGGATCACGGGAAGTAGGTTAAAAAACGACCAAAAGATTTGCACGGTCCTAAGCAAGCAAGCGAACTTAATATAAAGGATTTAAAAGATGAATAAAAGTTTACCGCGTGAAATACTGTCGCATGGAAAACTAACAGTTCATTTGCTTCTTTGGCCGGAGAGTTTTCGCGTCTATGGTGTTCCCTAACGGCAGACTTGGAGGAGAGAGGCCTGCTATTAAAATAGTT